GAAGAATTACAGATAACTGGCAACAAATCCATTTTGGTTTTCTTTGAAAAATTTCATGCATTTCGCGCATTTCGGAACAAGATGTTCTTCCACAGAGAAACATTTGGAATTGAAAACATGCATGCAGGCATATCAGCTGCTCCCATAAAGCTAGTTCTGCACTCACCTTCATTGTGTATGGATGTTGACATAACAGGGCGTATATCATCTGCAAGCCGTGAAAAAGAAATATCTGGTTTACTGTTTGGGACAACAAACACATGTATAAACACTTTGAAACGAAGTGGCGATCACATTGTGTTTTTATAAAAGGTGCTCTTCCTGATTATATAATTCATCAGTGGAAAAGTTGAAACAATATATGTTGTAAAATACCTCTCTCAACGCGAATAGTAAAGTTAATAGGAAAATCCTAACCAGTTGTGAAAATTCGGTTAACATGCATTGGAAAAACTCAGAATGGATTAGGTGATATTGTCAGGGTGATCGGGTGCAGAGTGAAACACCCTTAACGGGTTGTCCACAGTTGGCTGGATCGAGATGGCAACATTTCGATAGTGCAATCTCAGTTATACGACCTACTGTGTGTCCTATACCGACCAACATCAAGTCCCACAAGTAGTCAACGAGAATACTGCATATATACACAGCGAAATCATTATTCTTGAACATTTTCAGGATACTTAGGGATGTTTTCGTAGAAAGGAAAAAGAAGAGTATACGATAATTCGTTCTTAGCGTATTACTTGGCCTGATTCAAGCGCAAACGGATTGATTCTTTCGTTACCTGAACCTGAGGAGAATGATGGCTCGTTGATACATTTAGTGTTGCACCATTGTGCAACATATCAAACTATTCAGATGATGGTATAAAATAAAGCCAAGGGAGTTTTCCGCTTCAAAATAGGCTGAGCCAACATGGAAATATATGTGACCGGGAGAGATATTTATATATATATATTTGGTGGTCGACAATAAATCTCTTTTTCAATGTAGAAAGGTGTTGCTAAAGTCAGTTCCGTACCAATCTTGCTCGAGAACATGTATCATTGAGTCTTGAGTATGACTGATTTTACAACTTTGTTCTGCTGATGGCACCGCAGGTTCGCTAGACGATGAAATCACACTGACCACAAATCACAGTTTCATTTGCTTATAGTAATTTACCTGAGTAAAACGTGCAGTCTTTTATGTTTAGGAGGAAGTGATACCACTTCTGCGGATGTTTATATAATTATGGGATCGAGCAAGCAAATAAAAAAGGTTTTGTCTGAGGTAAAACTGCGTTGCTGCACAAGCGACACCTGCGTGAATAAGAGATACCCGGATTGGAGGGAGGGATCATGGTTGTAAGATCCAAAACGACCGTAGCCCGAGCGCCATCACCTATCTTACGGTCGTTCAGTATAGCGTCGATGAGACTGTTGAGCAACGCTTAGCGAACTGCGAACCGCGAAGTCAGAACGATATTGATCCACAATGCGTATGGTACTGTTTATTTCATTAAGCGAGCTAAAGAACAACGTGCCTCGATGATGCGACTCAGTCGTTATACAGCCAAAAGGGCTTCAAACAAATGAGTAGAGACCTGATATAAAAGGCAAGCAAATAAATTTACGAAGAGGGAACACAAATACCTGTCAGATCAAGCAAGGGATTCTGTTCACCAAACGTGAACACCCAGTGTTCGAAGTCAGAGATGCACTCACAAAGAGCATGACAACGAACTAGCCCACAGGGCAATTGATGAGAACAAATAGGGATCGGGGCCAAAACATAAAAAAGCTGTGAGTGCAGAGAGCAGTTATTGATCCAAGGATCGATGGGTAAACACGCAGGGTCAGGGGATACGAGTAACAGTCATCAGACAATCATGGACAATAATGACTAAAACGAGGGATCACGCGGTGCTCAAGGTCAAAGCAGGAATGATCAAAAAGAAACGTGTGCATATAGGGTCGGAAAAGGGGTAATTGGGAGGGAGGAACAAAAGTAGTCTCGCACTGGACCCGAAAGGGATTTTCTTCACCCAATGGTTTCTCCAATGGTGTTCACTTCCAGGACCAGTCTTGGGAAGATGAGTACATCTGAGACTGTTAGGCAACATGACTGTCAAGCCCCAAAACCATCTATAATATACTAGTCGGTAAACGATGATCTAAACAAGAATCAAGAAAATCAGGCCACTGAAAGCCAGGTTCTGTTTTTCGCTTTTCTAAATTCTAATTGATAAATTTATGGAATAATTGCTGCCAGTGACTTACATCGAAAGTTATCCTTATATTCTTTGGAGACATATGAAAACTACTCACAGACCGGATGAAATGTTTGTCTAAATAACCACCAGATTCCCCGTTTTTAGCCTGATAGTTTTGACCAATTGATCATCACGGTGTGTTTGCATGCGGGATATGTGAGGAAGTGAACTCAAACCTACCGGAACTGGTAAACGACATCAAGTCAGCGGCATTAACTCGAGGCGCATTCATCGTAAGAGGATTTGAAGCTAAAAATTGTGCATTTACCACCGGGTATGCCGGATTTTGTGCTGTGTTGAGAAGTGGGCAAAAAAGAAAAAAAGAGTATATAAGTTATGCGAACGTGAAAATTGAGTGTTGTTAAAGTCGGAGTTACGAAGAAGCAATAAAAACCTGTTCATCCTCTCGGTTTTTGAAACTGGTTTGAAAACCTTTATTACTTGACGATGTTATCAAAATGCTCAAAGCGGTGAATGCGCGATATACCGTTAAGCCCGAATCAAGAACATGGAATTGAAGTGGTAAAAATGAATACAGCATCATTATCATCGTTGCTATCTCCGTGTAACATATAATGGTCATATCGGAATAGATATACATACCTCCGACCACGGCCGGCGGACCCGCATTTGGATAGAACATGGACTGTCCAGGAACGGTGGCGGCATGCATCGTTTGATAGGCCATTGACGTTGGGTAGTACGAGGAGATTAGAAGTCCACCACTGGAGGATACAGCTGCGGCAGCAGCAGCCGCCGCCGCTGCCGCTCCATTGACCATCCCACTCATGTACCCCGGACCGGTTCCGAGCTGATACTGATTCATTGGGGACCGAGGTAAGATCAATGGTGCAGTGCCTGGTGTTGCCCCTAGACTTGCAGACGCGTACGAGTAAGCCATAGTGGTTTCGGGCTAGAGAAATTGATCACATGGTACGAAATAATGTTTCACACAATTTGGAAATCAAACCATCGTGAGTAGACAAAGGGTCACAGAAAAGACATGATCACCAGGTGACAGCAAAACTCAATGGCAGATATTGACCGTTGTAAAAGAAATTCTTTTTGCACTGTACACTTGAGAATATTCAAACATGGATAACAAAAGTTCAGCTGTCCTAAAACGTATGAAGTACTATGACTAAACGATGTGAAAACGGAGATCATTTCTTCCATCTGAAGCCACTTGCTCTATTTTTAATCTTCAGATTTGAATTCACTGATGAAGTGATGAACCAAACAGACACGTACCGGGAAGCCGGCAGTTGCATGTGGTTGGTAGTTCAGATTGCCCGTGATTCGTGTCGGTGTACAAACACTACCCGGTCCGGAATTTGTGCTCGCACTACCCGTTCGCGTGGGTGTATTGTTGCTCGGATGCAGGTCGAACAAACCGGGAACCAGAGCCCCGTCCGCTTGACGTTGTTGTGAGACCGAAGCGAACTGTAGTGAGTCCGAATCGCGATCCCACGATGGAGTCCGATTATCTGAAGGTAAACAGCCACATGTTGTTACTGAATTTATACAATGTGGGGATAACTCGTTTAAAGAAAGTAGAAGATAAACAGGAAGAGAAGAAAAATTGGGGTAACATCCATGCATTTGTTTTCTTCTGACCCTAAACATTGGAGGAAACTTGGGGATCATCATAATGCGTCATTGAGGTAATACTTTCGGGTTCGACAATAATCCAGATATTGTCTACTTCAATCAAATACACAAGATAACTCACGTTGTTGTAGCTGTTGTTGCAGCAGCGCCGCATGAGAAGCATTGCTCACATTTACCGGTCGTGTTCCACCAGTAGACAACTGAACCGAAGTGGTCAGCTGGTCGTTTGGACCTTGTCTAACCATCAGGGTTGTGTGCGGTTGTACGGACAGGGTTTGTGGTGAACAGGGATCGGCCGCATTCAAAGCTTCACCGTTACTCATCAACAAGGCAATATCTTGATTGGGATAAGCGCCTCGGGCTCGTTTAGTACCGTGACTACCAATACTACCTGTTTTAGACAGAGATCGAAGACCGTCGGTGTTTGCGAGACCGTCCATATGTGATCCGGGAGGCTTGTAACTAAAAGCAGGTTTCAAAACAGAAATAATGTGCCAGTAATTGGATGTGCTGATCAACTGAGCACCAGTTGGACACAGAGCCAAACTTCAATAATCGTTTGTTGAACCGAATGAAAAGGTAGAATGACAAAACCCTGTTTGTCAATAAACACCAAATGGAAAATTGAAATACGGAGGAAATTCGGACAGCGCTTGTTTGCGGATTAGATTTTTATTGTGCTGAACGAATTTATGCGTGAGCTGAGTCTATTTTTCCAAATAGCCGATTTTCGTATCATTTATCATGCGCTTTGTAATATATTTCATAGATTGCAGGGATAATGACAACCTGTTTGGAGTGCATGACGCAATATCTCTCATCTACCAATGGCAATCTTCCAATTACCCATTACATCATGATTTTTCACTTCTAGCACATATGATACACGAATGAGTGCTACCGTTTTTATTACATTAGAGACAAGGTGTACAGTAAAAGGAATATATTTCACAATCCTAAGACCTAGGATACAAAAAAATTGAGCAACATGTACTAAATACGTGAAGCCCAGGTCGTTAATCTCATGCATGATTCCAAGGAAAGAGACTTGCCGAGAGTGGAAAAAGAGTCACTCTAAAGCAAATAAGCGACACGATAAACCGAGACGAGAAACCGGGAATTTGGCAGCGAGGAAGCGGAAAAGAACGTGCGAGGAGGACGATTATATCAGAGAACATGCAAATCCGTCTCTGGACTCTCACCTTGACACTTATTATACTATGGGTTCATGATTCCCGGTTCGTGAAAACCGATAACTATTTACGAAATTCACCATCACTCTTTTTAGTTTCATGGAAAAGTATAGAAAAATAAAAAAATACTAGAAGAAATTAATTCATGCTTTGGGTTTGGTGTTTCTTTTTCTTTGGCGTTTTCACTGGCGTACGGTTTTAAAGCGCTTGTGAGGATGACAACCATACTGAAGGAGTCCTGTTCGAACTCTATTCAGTGTTGTTTCGTTTGTATGTGTTCGTTGTGATACTCACCGGATGCTATACCTGGAAAGTTTTCCATTGATTGTCTGATTGTGTATGTCTATTTTTCTCGTGTTCCGGTTGAACGTTTTAGTCATCTGATCAACGAGCACATTTCACTTTAGCTATGCATATGGCCCAGCCCAATTTCATGAATGTCACGTGTTTCATGTATGAACGAATTATTAGGGTACCCGTGTGACAGCACACAGGCTGCGTAATGAGATGACTAGTCAAAAATTAACTTTCATACACTATATTTTGAATCATGAAATAAGGTCAACTGGACCGGATCATATTAGTGGAATGATTTTTTTGCATATATGTACAATCACTTTGAGATAAACCGGGTGTTAATGAGATTTAAGCCAAATAATGTGTGTAATACTTTACAAGATATGAGATATGGAGAGTGTTGTTCGACAAAGCTGCCATGTTCTTGTTGATCATGTCATTCGTCCAATCAAACTTTTCTCGGGAGGAGGTGCATCGAATAGGTAGTGTGGTTGATCTTTATTCAGTGTGAATCCTTGGTTGTCATTTGTTACCACCTTACTGCCTTTTCAAAAAATTTCCGTGTTTTCCAACATACCGTCTTTCTGAAGAATGTCTCCCAAAATAAGAAGCCGTCAGTAAAGGTTTACATAAATAAAAGTTGTAGGAAAACCATGGGGTGCTAT